ATCGTTGGCCAAATTTATATCGTTTCTATCATATATCGTTTATATCGCCCACCCCTAGTTCAAACTCAGACATGAGCTATTTTGCACCCTTTAGCATTCTGTGTCACAGAACAGATTGTAGATATTCTTCAAACATGCTTATTTCAGTCAGTTTAAATGAGTATGTTTGAGAGGACCTAATGGTATCCCTCAAGATGATACAGCTATTGCACAAAAGCTGCTCGAATTTAGTTTCACAATGTTTATCTTAGACTTTTGTCACAACATACTTGCACAGTGTAAATATGATCATTTTAGTATGAACAACTCAAATTATTCTTTGTGTTGTTCATACCCGGAGCACAATGTTAATCATAGCATAAGAGCTTTGGTCTCAGGAGTCATACACAGTATCAAGTCTTTAAAAAAATCTTGATTCATAGCAATAACACTGATGATGAAACCAACTCTTAGATAATGGAAACTCCATCTCTCATAAATCTCAAAGGCTCGTGTCAGGTCTCTTTGTCTTTTGAGCGCCACCTGAGTTTGGTAGTGATGCAGTATTTTGCTGAGTGTCCTTACAGAAGTACACAGCAGGGTTTTTACAAGCCCACATTGTCACTTCTCCTCCCCCTCCTGTTTTTCCAGGACTCGAAGTCAGCAGCTGGCTGTTAAGCCCTGCGCGACTCAGGTAGCGATCTTTTATCCTCTCTGCATTGTTAAACCGGGCCTCGTGGTTCTGAGTTTGGCTGGAGAGGTATGCAGCAATATTTCTGGTCCGATAGCCCTCCTCTCTACTGCGGCCCAGTAACATGGCTATATTTGGGTTCCTCAGAGCATAGATCAGAGGGTTAATGGCTCCATTTGCCCAAGCTAGCCAAATGGCCACTGTGTCCATTGCAGGATTAAATGTGTAGTCCCCTATAGCAGTAACTAGCCCCATCAGACAATATGGCCCCCGGCAAAAAATAATGAAAACAATCATTATCAGAACTGTGGTGGCTGTTCGCATTTCACTGTAAAATCGAAGTAAGTATGCATATGTGGTTACAGGCCTGACTCGTATTTCTGAGAGCCGAACAGTCTTACAAATGTTGTAATGACAAAAACACATCAGGCAAAAAGGCAATAAATAACATACAATGATCAGACAGATGCTATAAGCTGTTCCCATGAGTGAGGTACCAGAGTGGAACACATACATGCAGTGGTAAAAACCTTGCTTATGGATTTCTTTAGGTGTTCGGACCACCAGATACCAAGGCAGAGAGAAAACGACAGCAGTTATCCACACTGCAATCAATAACTGGGCTGCTTTCTGTCTGCCTATTTTAGCCTGTGGTTGTCTGACAATGGAATAGTACCTATCAAAGGATATCAAAGTCATTGTCAGGGTGGCGATAATACCAAAGCAGGTGTTCAAACACCCATTGGCAACACAGAAACGATCCCCAAACATCCAGACGCCATCCTTACTGAAAAGCATAACAAAAGAGAATGGCAGACACAAGACAGCCGTGAGGAAGTCCGATAGCGACAGCGACGTGATAAAAGCATTAGTCACTGTTCGAAGTTGCCGGTGCTTGATGATAACGATGACAACTGCTGAGTTACCAAGACAGGAGAGAAGGAATACAGACAGCAGTATCAGTGCCTGAGCTGCCACTATGACTCCCTGGAGAACAGAGTTACTCTCAGCAGCACTCAGCACAGACGGGTGTAGTTCCTGATGGGTAAGACCAAATTCACTTCCTCTTTGGTCTTTATGGTCTGACAGGTTTCCTGTGGTTTGCACTATGGTCTCTGTAGTGGTAGCCATGAGGTTGGTCACCATGGAAATAACCCTAAAGAACAAGATGGAGAAATTATTGTTCAAAAAACTGGACACAAAGTTTTCACTGCTGCAACCAGGTTTCTGTAAGGCAGAGTAAATCGATGTGTTGATCAATTATTAATCAATTACTAACAGAGACTTGGAGGAGAGACCTAATATGTAATAATCCACGTTTCACTGTTTTACTCTTTGGTTCAGATGTGGATACTGGATTTTTAGGCTTAAGGCATTTTTTGCTGGTTTTTAGTTTGTTTTTGTCTGTTTGGGAGCTGACACAGTCTCTATGGAGATGGGGTTTTGGGGGGAGGGGGGGTAACAGGAGGAGAGAAGCTGCAGAGAGGCGTGTAAGGCTGAGTCCCAATCCAGCGACCGCACGCATTTTGAGACCTATTACGTCACAGCTTCGCGACGACGGCTATCCCAATCCGAAGTGTACTCCAAATGCGCCGTCAATTTCCCCAAATTTGAAGTGTGGTCCGGTGCACACTTCGTGGTCCCGTATATCCCACAATTCATAGCGCGGCGGTGGGTGTGGATAATTTTGCCGAAAAATACGGCAGACAGCTGAAGTGGAGCGGCCGAAGAGTGAACTGTCAAAGGTAAGTACTGAATATTATGTCACTTATTTATGTGCGAATGTTTAATAATGTAAAACATTAAAACAATACTGTTGGCCACATGTTGGCAAAGTTATGTGACATTAGTGATGTTTGTACTAACTTGGGTTTAATATATATTCTGAGGTAAGTTGATCTATAGTGTTACATCCTATTCTATAAGGATGTTATGTGTTTGTAGACTTTCTGCCCAGTTTGACCCATTTAGCAGAAGTCAGCCTGTTTAAGGCTCTGATATCTATTCTGT